AGAAAACTAACGTTAGATTTACGTCAGAAAACTAACGTTAGATTTACGTCAGAAAACTAACGTTAGATTTACGTCACGTCAAACACTGTGTATAAATTTAAAGTCAATCGGATATTAACTGTAGCCTCTAGAGCATTTACAAAATTTTTTGAAGTGATCAAGGGCCAGTAATTATTGAAAATCGCTGAAAATGAATAGACTTCTTCGTCTCATGACCTTAAACACTGTGCATAAATTTAAAGTCAATTGGATATTAACTTTAGCCGCTAGAGCGTCCACAAGCGGTGTTAACAAGCAGTTGCCTTGCACATAAGGAGACAGGTAAGTTCCCACATTAAACTCTGCTTTCGTCAAAATGTAATTTCAAATATAAATAGGCTGAATCGGCATCATATGGCTTCAAGTCTCCAGGATTAGGTAGGTGGCGTTCACATTCTAAACGAATAGGCTCTGATAAGTAGTCGGATACTTCTAAAACTTTTGATAATTCTGCCACCTCACATAACATTTCCTCTGTTAAATGTTTACCACAATTTTCACCGCCATATCTTTCTGGGAAATTAAATATATGTTCTGGAATACCACATGGTAAGTCTTTTTCCTTTTGTCTGCGAACGCGGTGATTATTCCATACACTGATCCTGAAAACATCTAGCTCTTTTTGTAAAACCGGAATATAGATGTAAGCAAGTAATAACCTGCAAAATAAAATGTTTAAGTAGATTCTTACATTTATATTGTTATATGATAGTGGGTTTTTTTGGTGAACAGGCTGGAATTCTGAATGGATCATCTTGGTACATTTTTGTACTTGGCATATTTATTCCTTAGTTTAGTTTAAACATATTTTATTGCAAATACTTTACAATGAAATTGGGGGAAATTTTGCCTGACAGCGGCGTTACGGCCTACTCTTATATCGAATTCTGGTTTTTGGTTCCATCCGAACGACTAGACAGCTGTTCTTGTTTGGTCCTGGGTCATTCCATATCAACTGGACCAATGATGGGAACATGACCTCCTCTAAAAAAAATTATAAAAAATATATGTTATAGTAGTATATGGCCTTAAACTAAGAAACCCGAAATTTAACCTCTCTACTAGAGTGGCTGAGATCGCCATTTGAAATTAAAAAAAACAGGTGAAAACGTGTATTGTCTGCTTAGAAAGTTGAAGTACAATAAACCTTATGTAGTTTCACTATCACTAGACGCCTCAAAACTACAGGCCGCAATTCTTACCGCATCGTCTTGAAACTTTGTCATGTATACTAATTTTTCCTTATACCCTACGTATGTTCCATATTGTTTTTGGTGCGTGCCCAACCCCTAGGGGTAAAGAGTCACGCTCAATTTTTGTTTGTGTCAGTCTGTCGCCTACAAGCCACAATTCTTAATGGATTGTCTTGAATTTGTGCATACTTATTCCTTATACCCTAAGAATGATCGCTATTGTTTTTGGTGCATGTCCGACCCCCAGGGCACAGTCCATAGGTTGCTCCCAGCCAGCAGCTTTAGTCATCAAATTACGGATTTTTTTTTTTCTTAACTGTGTTATAAAAAATTAATTTCATTTATAAGGACACTCCCTAACTTCAGCACTTAAGTGCCATTGCCTAATGTCTATGCGAACAGTGAAGAGAGATATATATATAGAGAGATGGGGTTTAACGTCCACTCGACACAAACTAGGTCATTTCGGGACTAACATATGGTTTAATTTTTATTTCAATGATTCGCATGCGCGTAGGGGTCTAGCAGTGGGAGGAAACCGGAGGACCCGGAGAAAATCCACGAGGTTGGACAGGCAACCCTACTCCTTGTCACGTACAACCGGGGATTCGAAACCACACCAGTTGACTCAATGACAGACCTTATGATACAGCGCGCGCACATGCTAACCATTCGGCCATCCACCCCCCCCCCCCCCGTGAAGAGATATAACATCAGCTGACAATGTAACGATAATATTCACACACATTAAATTAGAGTGTATAAAAACTTGTTTATATGCATAGATATTCACCTGTGTATTTTATTAGTAGAGTCATAATCTCCATTTTCTACTAACCTCTTCAGTTGATTTTTGAAAAACCTTTCCAAACGATGTGATAATTCTCTCCACCACCTCTCTATCTTATTTTGAGTTGATGGTCCATAAAGAACACTGGTTTCATCTCCATCGGTCAGAAACATTTGCATTGTACACATAATACCCGTTTCTGTACCCTTGTCAACACGAATTCTTGAAGGCAGTACTGAAAATTCAAAACATTTGATATTATGCCAGAAAGGCATGAATCTTTACACTAAAAGATATTTCTCTATCTACATTACAATGAGATTTCTTAACTTGTAAACATCATACCGAATTGTTGGGTCGATTCATTACTTAAAATAAAAAAAACACTAACAAGCTTTTGTCAATGGACATTTGCATACCTGTACCATCATCTAAGAACCCCAGAGCTTTGAACACCTTCGTTGTTCGATCCCTGCATTGGCCGAGAAAGTTCATTCAAACTTTCCGCTGTGGTTCCTTCTTGTCAGTGTTCAATGACAGTATAGGAGCAGAATACTAGGACACTAAACCACATTTTATTTTATTTAACACTTTCGTATAAACACATGTAAATGGCACTAACCAAGAGCAGATATAGTGGGGTGTGTCGTGCCCCCCCCCTCCATCTGGATCCAGGGGGCACACTTTATTAAAGGATTCTTGTCTCAGATCACAGAAAAGGGCATTTCCAGCCTTTTAGTATTTTGATATTTTCCGAAGGAAGCTACTCGTTTCCCTACATCGTGCGCCTTGCACCTTCCATGGTCTCTGATGGGTTTACTTTCACTTGTCATATATTGAATTCAGTCATGGTGACAGATTATGGAACACATTTACACATATGTTGTTGCTTCTTTGATGAGATATAAACTAAAGTCAATGGAATCGGAATTAAGCATGCAATATTTAAGACAGATCAGCCAATTCATCAAGGTCCCCCTCACGCAAATGAAGTGATGACGCCACCCATATGAAGTGTAGTGACACTAAACCGAGACGTGCTCGAAGTGAAAAATTTGATATCTGAAGTGTTCATTTCTACCACACTTCCGTAACAACACTTCAAATTTTCAATGAAATAAAGAAGGCAGAAATGATGCTGAAGTGAGGAAGAAGCCATGCCAAATATGCAAATTAGGCTTCAACGAAGTGTTCACTTCATCCAAGTGCTTATCGGGTGTTATTCTCACTTCAACTCAGTGCTTATCGGGTATTTTTCTCACTTCAACTCAGTGCTTATCGAGTGTATTGCTCACTTCAACACAGCACTTATTGAGTGTTTTGTTCACTTCAACTCAGTGCTTATTGAGTGTTTTGCTCACTTCAAACCGGTGCTTTTCTCACTTCAACCCAGTTCTTATCAGGTGTTTTTCTCACTTCAACCCAGTGCTAATGGAGTGTTTTTCTCACTTCAAACCGGTGCTTATCGGGTGTTTTTCTCACTTCAACCCAGTGCTTATCGGGTGTTTTTCTCACTTCGACCCAGTGCTTATGGAGTGTTTTTCTCACTTCAACTCGGTGCTTATGGAGTGTTTTGCTCACTTGAATCCAGTTTTTATGTAGTGTTTTGCTCACTTCAATCCAGTTTTTATGTAGTGTTTTGCTCACTTCAACCCAGTGTTTATCGAGTGTTTTTCTCACTTCAACCCAGTGCTTATCGGGTGTATTTCTCACTTCAACCCAGTGTTTATCGAGTGTTTTTCTCACTTTAACCCAGTGCTTATTGGTTTTTATTATCACTTCTACCCAGTAAGGATGCAGACTTAAACAGTGTGAGGCCTAGCTCACAAACCAGGTGGGGGTGGGGTGGGGTGTATTTGATCCCAGTGTCGGTCATGATAGTTACTCCACCCTCCCAGGATATTCTGCACCGTTCGCCTGATCAGTGGATCTAGGGCCTGGCAAAGGATGGTGTTTGGTTGTGATAGTGATGGGGCTGAAAAGCCAAAGTTCCATGTAGAAAATGTCGTCCATGTAAAAAAAAGAAACCTGTTTAATTAAAAGAGGACAATTCAGAAAAGCCACATCTGGGCTAAATTTCCCTCATAGCACACTGAATAATCCTAGTTATGCTGCAAAACCGCAAACATGAAACAAAATAACACTTTGATATTTATTATTTATTATTGTTTTCAAAATATTACAACACAATTGATACAATTAACAAGTGGTTGCCATCAAAGATACACCCACATATTGCAAAAGAGAATAAGGAATATAAATAAGGCTAATCCACTCATTGTCCCAATGTTTCATAAAGAATTAGAAAAAAATCTGTTAAAAAAAATTGCAGCCTTATCACGTTCACATGGTTTCCAAAAAAAGTGGGTTAAGTGTGGATTGCTGAATTTATAGGATTTGTCCACTCATGGTCCCAATGCTACACGGCAAATTAAAAAATTGTAGCCTCATCACATTCACAAGCTTTTTTGAAAAGGTTATCTTCGAATCGCTGCATATCGTTGGTGTTTGTGATCTCATGAATCCAATGCTTCACACCAAATCTGAAAAGGATCGGTTAAAAACTGTAACTCCAATCAAATTCAATGTTTTTGGCTATGGGGCATAACTCTGAACTCGAAAGCCAAATCTTCAGCAAAGAGGGGTTAATTCGGGCATGGGAAATGTTGGCGTAAAAAACTGAGAGTTCTAGAGGATCCAGAAGTTAAAAACAATGGATCGTACAATCAGGTGTAATATTCTAGGAAGATACGGTCCAATATATGCCAAAATCCTCTGGATTGCACAATATAAGGGTCCATAATTCATGAGGTTAGAGTTCAAAATGAATCCGATCCCAGATGATTTGAATATAAATATACATTTAAATTTCATTAAAATCGCATAATTGTGACGAGTAGAGTTGTCCACAAACAAATTTCACCGGAGGTACATCTGGAGGGACAGGCTATAATCCATTACAGTTTACACATTTCATTTGTTTTCTTGCATCTTTAACACACCATATTCAACCCACATTCAATGTTGCTATTAATCACCTCCACAACTTATTCGACCACATTCATAGGTGCTGTTATTCTGGTTTAATTAACCTGAAATTAAAACAAAAAAAATGTTCAGTTAAAGATGCATTCCGAAAAAGGTAATTATAGGGAGATTATTTCGAATAAGATATGGTAAGTTTGGATATGGAAAGTAGAGACACCCAATCTTTCTAGAAAATACTAAATTCCTGCGGAGAGAGAGAGAGAGAAATGGGGTTTAACGTCCACTCGATACAAACTAGGTCATTTCGGGACTAATATATGGTTCCATTTTATTTCAATAATTCGATAGCACGTAGCGGTCTTTAGCAGTGGGAGGAAACTGGAGAAAACCCATGAGATTGGACAGTTGACCCTACTCCTCATCACATACAACTAAGGAATCGAAACCATGCCAGTTAACTCAATGACAGACATGAGCTAACCAGTCGGCCATCCAACCCCCCAGATTCCCATGGAAACACTAAGAGACACAGTGAAAACAAGCAGATGCCATGCAAGATACACCCACATTTTGTAAGCGGTGGACAGAGAACAAGCCAAAAAAGCAATTTAAGTTTCATCAAAATTGGATAACAATTGTGATCTCTAGAATGTGATTTGTACAATCAGTCGCCATAATCCATAAGTTTTGGTCCAATATGCCCGAATATTCTAATGAACCGAGATCTTTGGGATATAAACATACATTTCAAGTTTTATCATAAAAATTGTCACTCTAAAGGGTCCACAAGCTAAAAATGCAATTTTTCATACGATCAGGGGCCATAATCTATAAGTTATGGTCTGATATGCATGAATATTGAAAGGAAATGAGATCCAGGGAGTTACGATCCAATTTGCGCGAATATTGAAAGGATCTGGGATCTTTGGGTTATATACATACATTTTAAGTTCAAAATTGCGACCTCTAGATGGGTCCAAAACCTTGGCTATTTTGTTGGGCAATTTCAGTCTGATTTTCACGAAATTTGAGCTCAACTGTTATTAAGATGTAACGGTGAAGGTTTCACAAGCTCAAAATGTGATTTTTTCAATACAATCAGGTGCTATAATCCATGAAGGAAAGGGGATTAACTAAGGCCTGTATTGTGCTAAGACAAATATGGATAACAGACCACAGGAGTGGATGACGGAAATATACGACTGTATTAAAATGTGGATGCATGCAAAGGATTACCTTCCATTGACTGTAATCAACATTGTTAGTGCTGGTACAGGGCGGCATTAAAATCTTCAGCTGTAATGATTTTCAATGACTGATTTATACCAAATACTGTATACAACAGCACCTATTATTTGTCTTTCCATCATTCATCCATCCGGGTCACAAGCTCGCCATCTGAAAACATAAAATTATCTTTTTAGATCAGATGGGATGATTCTTCTCAAAGATGCGGGTATGAGTTACATGTATAGTGAGAAAAAGATACAATTTAATTGCAGCAATTTACGAACAATCCCCATACTTACTTTAACAAGGGGTTGCCATGCATGATACGCCCACATTTTGCAAGAGATGGACAGAGAACAAGCTCAAAAAAAGAAGTGATTTTTCGTACAATCAAGGGCCATAATTCAGGAAGTTACGATCCGATATGCATGAATTTTGAAAGGAACCAAGATCTTTGGGTTATAAACATGTATTTCAAGTTTCATCAAAATCGGATCAAATTTGTGTCCTCTCTCCAGAGGGTCCAAAAACCTTGATATACCATATATTTACAATATTTGCGTACGAAGAGCAGCCATTTTGTCCGGCAGTTTTGGTCCAATTTGTACGAAACTTCGGACTCAACCATCATAAGGGTGTAACAGTGATATATTCAAACATTTTTTTCAAATCGGATAAAAATTGTGACATCTTGAGGGATCACATCCTAAAAACGTGACTTTTTATATAATCAAGGGCCATAATTCAGGAAGTTACGATCCAATATGCACGAATATCGAAAGGAACCAAGATCTTTGCGTTCTAAATATGGGTCCACAACATTGATAAACCATATTTTTACGCTATTTGACGAGGTGTGGCCATTTTGTCTGTCAGTTTTGGTTCGATTTTTACGAAATTCAAACTCAACCATCCTTAGAGTATAACGGTGATATATTCAAACGGTTTTTTTAAATCGGATAATAATTGTGACCTCTAGAGGGACCACAAGCTATCAACGCGATTTTTCGTACAATCAAGGGCCATAATTCAGGACGTTATGGTTCGATATGCGCGAATATCGAAAGGAACCGAGATCTGTGGGTTATAAACATGCATTTCAAATTTTATCAAAATCAGATGAAAATTGTGACCTCCAGAGGGTCCACAACCCTGATACGCAATATTTTGACACTATTTGCGAATGAGGGCTGGCCATTTTATCTGTCAGTTTCGGTCCGATTTTTACGAAATTCGAACTCAACCACCCTTAGGGTGTAAAAGTGATATATTCACACGTTTTTTTAAATCGGATAAAAATTGTGACCTCTTTGGGGTCCACAAGCTAAAAATGCGATTTTTCGTACAATCAGTGGCCATAATTCAGAAAGTTATGGTTCAATATGCGCAAATATCAAAAGGAACTGAGATCTGTGGGTTATAAACATGCATTTCAAGTTTCATCAAAATCAGACGAAAATTGTGACCTCCAGAGGGTCCACAACCCTGATACGTAATATTTTGACACTATTTGCGAATGAGGGGCGGCCATTTTGTCGGTTAGTTTTGGTCCGATTTTTACGAAATTCGAACTCAACCATCCTTAGGGTGTGACAGTGATATATTCACACGTTTTTTTAAATCGGATAAAAATTGTGACCTCTATGGGGTCCACAAGCTAAAAACTTGATTTTTCGTACAATCAGGGGCCATAATTTAGGAAGTTATGGTCCGATATGCGCGAATATTGAAAGGAACTGAGATCTGTGAGTTATAAACATACATTTAAAGTTTAAACCAAATCGGATAAAAATTGTGACCTCAACAGTGTTCACAACCTAAAAACGCGATTTTTCGTACAATCATGGGCCATAATCCATGAAGTTACAGTCCGATACATGCTAATATTAACATCGAAAGGAACCGAGATCTTGGGGAGATAAACCTATATTTCAAGTTTCGTTGAAATCGGATAAGAATTGTGACCTGTAAAGTGTTCACAAGCAATTGTGGACGGACGGACGGACAGGGGTGACGACAATATACGTCCACATGAAAATGTGGGCGTATAAAAAGGATCGGGGAGCGACATTAAAAGTTAACTGGAGATTTTTTATCAGACTACATAAACAATCCCACCTATATGACTTAATTATCCCACAAACCAAATTGATGCAATTTGTACATTTGGGCAATCAGTTTCATTTTCAGGCAAGTGAAATCATTGAACTACTTGCCCTAAGAAGTTAATGTTGAGTTAGGAATGTGTCATGTTTTATTTTCCAGCAACAATCCCAAGCATAATAATTTAATGTCTACTTTTATGCAAACACCGGACTAATGAATACAGATATATGCCATACAGTGACCTATAAGGGAAATTTTGCCCAGAACCACTTCGTTAAAGCCTACTATATTGAATTCTGTCAAGGGTTCTTTTACACCAATGTTTACACTGGACCTTGTGTTTTTTGTACCATCTGATTCTGAACAACTGGATACTGTCCTTGCCAGGCCCTCCCAGTCCCACCACGCTGACATGGGAAAACCGCTCGAGAACTTTCTTGGCAAATCAAAGACCTCTTGGTTAGGGTGCCTGCGTCTTACTAAGCCTAATCATTTACAGTCTTCTAGGCTAAATTTGACCTGTGAAGAAAGTTTTCTTAAAAATCAATTTAAATATTACCTACACATGCATAAGGTAATGAGTGTCATACACGTCTTTGAATTCTTTACTTTAAAATTGGAATTTTTCTGAAAAAAGAAATCGAAATGGGGTTGAATGAAGATGAACATACGCTATGCAGTGGCTTATGACCATGAGTAGGGTGACCCACCATAAATAAATATCTCCAAATATCTCGACAATTACGCCACAATATTTATATATATGCCAAGCCTCAAATCAGTTTCACACAATTATAGTCACTAAATAAACGATCATGTTGTACTTAATGAGCTATGACCATTAATCATCTATAAATAATAGACTGAAAACTGGTTCCAAGTGTCGTCCATAACATCCAGACACTTTTGAGTAAAAGATAGGTTACGTGCCCTAGTTTTGAAATTAGTCTCGCTTAACCAGTCTATCGACCATTCTACGTCTGATTGACAGGTCGGGATAATCAAGACTACTTTTTTTACGAAACATAACAGAAAGCTTGAACAAGAAATTGAATTTAGAAATAAGCACTTTAGACAACTCAACAATTGTTTTAAGAAACTTGTAAAAGTAAAATGAAACTACTGCTAGTATCATGTTCCTGCTAAAGAAAGTGATTCAGAGATAGTATTTGTACTAAACCAAAAGAAGCCGCTCTTAAAGGTACAGTTAATGATAAAGCAATTTAAAAGATAGGTTGCCAGGCAACGAAACATACGCCCACAGCAGCTAAATCGTCCGGGGAGTCAACAAGAGTTGTCGTATATTTTTACTTTTTTCGGTAATTAAACATTTATAATACATTAAAATCTGATAAAGAGTAACAACTAATTAAGTAATTATCAGAAAACCATTAGAATTTGTTTGTTTTTTATAAAGTTCTGCCCCATGCTAATGTTTAGTATAGAAAACTTTTAACATCATGGATTTAGTTAAGTCATAAAAATTCATTGAAAATCAATATACTTGTTCGTCTCAAGACCTTAAACTCTGTGTATCAATCTGAAGTCAATCAGATGATAACTTTAGCCTCTAGAGAGTCACAAGATTTTTCAAAGTGATCAAGGGCCATAAATCTGGCAGTACTTATCAGAAATCGCCGAAAATCAATAGGCTTCTTTGTCTCGTGACATTTAACACTGTGTATAAATTTAAAGTCAATCGGATATTAACTTTAGCCTCTAGAACGTCCAGAAGATTTTTCAAAGTGATCAAGGGCCATAACTCTGGCAGAACTTATCAGAAATCGCCGAAAATCAATAGGCTTCTTCGTCTGATGACATTAAACACTGTGTATAAATTTAAAGTCAATCGCCTCTAGAGAGTTCACAAGATTTTTCAAAGGGATCAAGGGTCATAACTCTGGCAGTAATTATCGGAAATCGCTAAAAATCAATAGGCTTCTTCGTCTCATGACATTCAACACTGTGTATCAATTTAAAGTCAATCGGATATTAACTTTGGCGTCTAGAGCGTCCACAAGATTTTTGAAAGTGATCAAGGACCATAACTCTGGCAGTAATTATCTGAAATCGCTGAAAATCAATAGGCTTCTTCGTCTTATGACCTTAAACACTGTGTATAAATTTAAAGTAAATCGGATATTAACTTTAGCTTCTAGAGCGTCCACAAGTTTTTTTGAAGTGATCAACGGCCATAATTCTGGCAGAAATTATCGGAAATCGCTGAAAATCAATAGGCTTCTTCGTCTCATGACCTTAAACACTGTGTATAAATTTAAAGTCAATCGGATGTTAACTTTAGCCTCTAGAGCGTCCACAAGATTTTTTGAAGTGATCAAGGGCCATAACTCTCAGTAATTATTGGAAATCGCTGAAAATCAATATGCTTCTTCGTCTCATGGCCTTAAACACTGTATATAAATTTATAGTCAATCGGATATTAACTTCAGCCTCTAGAGCTTCCACAAGATTTTTTGAAGTGATCAAGGGCCATAACTCTGGCAGTAATTATCGTAAATTGCTGAAATTCAATAGGCTTCTTCGTCTCATGACCTTAAACACTGTGTATAAATTTAAAGTCAATCGGATATTAACTTTACAGGCGATACGTTTCAAGTCAGTAGCTTGAAGCGTATATATGGTATTAGTGTCAGTGGCCTGTGGCACGAAGTAACAGTATATTGTCGCATACATAATATATTATGTCAACGCTTGGGCGATATAATATATTATGTCAACGCTTGGAACTAGGATGGAGGTGACTAGGCATGAACTTGCAACGATAGATTTAATTGGCGCTTTGATAACCAATGAATGCTTTGGAGACATATTTTGGCGGTATTTTCCATCATGGAATCGGTAAGTTTCGATTGTTTTTTTCTTTTCTGTTTTTTCTCTCTTTTCTGTGTCCTAACCCTAACCCTAACCCTAATCCGAAAGAAAAGTGCCCTTTTTTGAAATTCTGACATCACAGGTGCCCTTTTTCTGATAAGGATGCCCTCTTTTATTTACAGGGACACTTTCTATTGTTAAGGGGGTGGACCGGTCCCCATGGTCCAACCCCTGGATCCGCTCTGATGACGCGTACATTCCACTGAGTCTACAGGTCTAATATGCTAACACGCTTGGAGCGTCAACACAATATATTATGTCGCCCAAGCGTTGACATAATATATTATGTATGCGACAATATACTGTTACTTCGTGCCACAAGCCACTGACACTAATACCATATATACGCTTCAAGCTACTGACTTGAAACGTGCAGGGTGAACTTTAGCCTCTAGAGCGTCCACAATTGCTTGTGGACGCCGGACCGACGGGGGTGACGACAATATACGACCACATTTCAATGTGGGCGTATAAAAATAAAACAAACGTAATTTCTAAAGCTGCTGTAATAACCAAGAGGCTAAATTTTACTGCTATTCAAAATCGTCAACAATAGATTTTTTACGGCTGTAATAGTTGATATATTTGTAGAGAATTGCACGTGCCATGGCTATTTATCGACTCAAAGAGAGTGCGGGGTAGTCAGAAATCAGTTTGAGACACGCAACTGAAGCGTGCACGGGTCACCCTACCATGAGGGTTTCTGTTGCTTTGAGGGAAGTTTTGTTTGGACCGCAGAGTTGCAGCCTTTTATAACAAATTCCAACTGCCAAGGGTTCTTTTACGTGTCCTCCATCATGTCCAAGAGACCCTGGTTTTCTTCCTATCTGAATCTGACAAGGAGAAATCATGCCAGGAATCGAACCTGAACCGTAACAGGGGTGAGGGTGGATTCCATGTGATTTCTACTTGAGAAATTATTCAATATTGGGACCATCGGAATAAAAGGTTGAAAGATTTAAATTTACGGACCATTATTAGCTGCCCTTAAACTACAAGGAATTAGGGAACGTATGATTATTGGACAGCAGTACTGAGGGGTAATCTCTATAACTGACTTTCAAATTCTCAGGCCGCCCAACCATGTATCAACCTCAAGAACCATTGAACTAACGGATTTCAGATCATAGGCCCATGTAGGGGTGACATAATAAGTTTACTTCAATTTACCATCTTGTCTAGACACATTTTTCACATACCGGCACTGGTGGATTATTAATTTACAACCTCTGAAAAAAAAATAAAGACGAACGATATAAATCCACCTTTTTTCAAGTACCGGTACAGTGTACCGCAGTTTAAATTTACCGAAAACAACTTTAATCATTCAAAATGAATGCCAGTTAACTCGTCCACACAAAAAGTCTAGTTATGTCGTCCACAAATATCAAAATACATGTACACTGGTGACACACCCATCCATGACGCCTCAATTCGACAATGGCAATGATATGCCATGAAAATGAAATGAATAAATCAATTTTCTGGGACAAATCGTCAAATTATAAATAATTCGGTGTACTTCATCAATCAATGAAATTGGCATTTCGTCGACGCCATGCCATGCATGACACTAAATCCAAATTGTGTGTGACTCGTGAGTCATAATCACACTAAACTTATTTTTACGCGATTTTCAGCAACTTAGACATTTTGTTAGTGATAAATTGTAACTAATCATTAAATTGGCTAGCTATAACAAAAACCTGGTCTTTACAACAATTAAAACTTTGAGAAATATTACAATAACTTACCTTAAATTGTTTTTTTATCAGTGCCAATCGATCAAGTTAGCGAAAATAAAAAGATGGCGGATAACATGAGACGAAGGCTACGATTGGATTAAATTTCACTTACGTCATTGTTGACCAATCCTAGCGATCTTTAGAAAATACAAGTAAAAAAAAAAAGAAATTTTAAAATCATTTTTTACTACCGGTATCATTAACATAAATTCTTATGTTTGTGTTTGGTTATAAATCTATTTCCTAAAAAAATGTTGAATTATGTATCAAAACATTGTTTTCCAAAATCTGAACAACTTTCATGAACTAGGCTATATTTCGCTTGAGACTTGTAGGCCTAATGTATTATTTATCTCACATCTGGGTCACATCTGGGTCACAAAAATAAATAGGTCAACAATATTTTTAAATACTTGATCGCCATTTTGATAATACTAGATAGGCTAATTTAATTACAGCTAGACCTACCATTAAAAATTTAGTTTAAGATGTTGTAGGCCTACATCTCTATATATTTATTTTAAAAACAACTTAAAAACACATATTTAAACAGGATTTGTCCCTGTTGTATTAATAGTAGCCTATACAATGGACCTTATAATACAACTGGTTAACAATAACATTGTTTATTTGTATTGTCACTCTGTAAGTTCCCCTGAGCACTATAAATATGCTGTAATAATAATAATAGTATAATATTAATAAACAGAAATAATAATAATAATAAGCAAATTTTAGCAATGTCTAAATGTCAACATTTTTTTTTTACATTTCTTCCAAAGCAAATGTTAATTATTGTATCAAAACATTGTTGTTCAATATTTTAACTTTTCATGAATTATAGTTTCTGAAATTTCGATGTCATTGAAAATATGATAAGTGTAGGGCCTACGTAGGCCTAGGACTGTTTTTTTTTTTAAATGACAGATTCTCGCAATTTTAATATAGACGAGGCCTATAGACCTACTTAATGTCTTTTTGAGACTAACATATGGTTCAATTTTATTTCAATAATTTGCGCATGCACGTAGGGGTCTTTAGCAGTGGGAGAAAACCGGAGGACCCGGAGAAAACCCACAAGGTTGGACAGGCGACTACTCCTTGACACGTAACTGGGGAATCAAAACCATGCCAATTGACTCAATAACAGACCTTACGATACAACGCGCTCACGCTAACCATTCAGTCATCCAAAACCCACCCCCGGTATTATCAAAAGTTTACATAGGTGTATTGGAAGGTTAATTATCGTATCAAAACCCAATTTTGTCAGCATCCATAACAAATTTGGTCAAATACTGAAAGAGAAATTTTCAATAGGGTCTACAGTAACTTTTTATTTTACAAAACTAAATTTGTTTTGAAACTGTATATATCAAACCACTTTAAAAGTACATGTCGTACAATTTTCACTTTAATAAATGTAATATAATTTTAAACGACATCTAAAAAAATTGTCTCAAATTGAAACAATTCTGGTTCTTACAAGTATATTGAATAAAATCCAGCTTGTCAGATCAAAGAAAATTCTTGCTTGATATTGGGAGACGCTGTGGCTCAGTGAGAGAGAGAGAATTGGGTTTAACGTCCACTCGACACAAACTAGGTCATTTCGGTACTAACATATGGTTCAATTTTATTTCAATAATTCGCTTGCGCGTAGGAGTCTTTAGCAGTGGGAGGAAATCGGAGGACCCGGAGAAAACCCACGAGGTTGGACAGGCGACCCTACTCCTTGTCACATACAACCGGGGAATCGAAACCACGCCAGTTGACTCAATGACAGACTTTATGATACAGCGCGCACGTGCTAACCATTCGGCCATCCACCCCCCCTCAGTGAGTGAGACGTTGGCACACTAGCCGAGTCGTCCCATGTTTGATCCTGTTTTTCTAGATTTTACCCCTTGGTTCCCCCTTTCAAGTGGTGCAGGACATAGGGCCTGGCAAGAAGAGAGAGAAATGAAGTTTAATGTCCACTCTACACAAACTACGCTATAGCAGGACTAACACATGGCTCAATTTTATTTCAATTATTTGGCTGTAGGAGTCTTTTGCAGTGGGAGAAAACCATGGGGACCAGGAGGAAACAGTTGTATAGTCGTGCGGATGGCACAACAACAAACAAAACGACATCACACATGCACATTGGCGTGTATGTAAAAGTTGGACAGTTGGATTTTGAAATAAGATAAGGCCTTAGTGCCTCATTGCACACTGTATGGCGTATGTAATGGCTGTCTTTTTTGAAGGTTTTTTGATAATAAGAGCATGAGTAATTCTTTTTTGTTAAGAATAAATGCTTCAATTATCCCAGGTTGGATCCCGGCATATCAACAAAATTAATCAGTATTTCCGGAATAATTTACCATTGACAGTGGTGTCGGATAGAGGAAATGAAATGAAATGAAATGGGGTTTAACGTCCTACTGTTCTGCTCCTATACTGGGCTAATGAAGACGGGCATACGCCATACAGTGTGCTATGAGGGAAACTTTGCCCGGGCAGCGGCACTATCGCCTACTCTTATATCGAATTCCAACTGCCAAGGGATCTTTTACGTGCATTCCAATGTATACACGGGACCTCGGTTTTTCGTCCCATCCGAACGACTAGACAGCTGTCCTTGTCAGGCCCTCCGTCCTGCATCACTGACAAAGGGGAACCACGCAGGAAAATCTGGATGAACTTTATCAGCCAATGCAGGGATCGAACACCCGACCTCCAGGCTAGCGAGCCAGCGTCTTACCCACCTAGCCACGTGATCCCCTGTCGGACAGAGGTCCTGGCAAGAAACAGCATCTAGTTGTTCATACTGTTTATATAGCACCGCTGTCTGTGCATTCTCCAAAATTGTCTGACAGATTATTCCCCGGTTTCAGCAGATGGAGCAGAAATAACAGGGCATTATAACCAATCATTCAATTTGTCACTTGCTAATATAGGGGAGCCACAGTGGCTCGGTGGGTAAGACGTTTGTTTTACTAACTATAGTGGCTCTGTGAGTAAGACATTGGCTCGCTAACTTAGAAATCCCAAGTTTATCATGATTTTCTGGTGTGGTTCCCCATTGTTAGCGGTGCAGGACGGAAGGCCTGGCAAGAGACAAAGTTATGGAGTGCACATAAAAGAAATGAAATGAAATGAAATGGGGTTTAACGTCCTACTGTTCTGCTCCTAAACTGGGCTAATGAAGACGGGCATACGCCATACAGTGTGCTATGAGGGAAATTTTGCCCGGGCAGCGGCACTATCGCCTACTCTTATATCGAATTCCAACTGCCAAGGGATCTTTTACGTGCATTCCAATGTATACACGCGACCTCGGTTTTTCGTCTCATCCGAAGGACTAGACAGCTGTCCTTGTCAGGCCCTCCGTTCTGCACCACTGACAAGGGGAAACCACGCCGGAAAATCGGCCAATGCAGGGATCGAACACCCGACCTCCAGGCTAGCGAGCCAGCGCCTTAACCACCTAGCCACCGTGGCTCCGCACATAAAAGAACCCTTGGCAGTTTGAATTCAAACTATAGCACTCTGAATGGCGTATTACTGTTTTCATTTGCTCAGTCAGAGAAGAACAGCAGGACGTTAAACCCCATTTCATTTCATATCAGTTGCTTAATGCAGGCTCACTAACCAGGATCCCACTGTTGGCCTAGACAGTTCATTAGGATTTTCTGACCAATGGTTTCTCATTGTCAGTGGTGTAGGGCCTGTCAAGAAAGTATCCATAGCTGTTTGCTGTAGTTAGGACATTGGTGCGCACGTAAAAGAGCCCGAGGTCTTGTGTCTGTGTGCATGTAAAAGAGAGAGAGAGAAATGGGGTTTAACCTCCACACGATACAAACTAGGTCATTTCAGGACTAACATATAGGTTCAATTTTATTTCAATAATTCGCTTTCGCGTAGGGTTCTTTAGCAGTGGGAGGAAACCAGAGGACCCGGAGAAAACCCATGAGGTTGGACAGGCGACCCTACTTCTTGTCACGTACATCCGGGAAATCAAAAGCAACATGTAAAAGAAGTTGTAATTTGATATAAGAGTAGGTCATATGGCAGCTTTCAAGGTAAAATTCCCCACAGCACACTGCATATTTTGTGTTTGTATATGAGATAGTGAAAAAATAGGGTTTAATGTCCACTCAACACAAACCGGGTAACTTCCGGGCTAACATTTAGTTCTTTGCTTGCGTCTTTTCTTTTCAATGCGGGGGTTGAATGGTCTTGTGCTTAATGTGAGCGCGTGAAATCATAAGGTCTGTCGTGGACACACTAGCCGAATCATTCGGCTTCGGCCAAATAAGTGGGCATACTCCCACCCGATTCACTAGTCGATTGCATCACCTTTGACCTCGCATGATTAAACATGGCAGCGACCATGTCTTCAAACAATCACGTGACTTCTCGATATGATTGGTGATTAACTATAATTCGGGCGAATATATCAAACATGTTTGATTCGCGAATCATTCAGTCAGATGACAGTGACGGCGCGGATTCATTCGACAGAATCATTCGGCTACTGTGTCCACCGCTTAAAGCAATATGCACTAACTCATTTCAACAACAATAAAATGTCAGTAGCATAATGTTGTAAACATAGGATATAGCAATTTAATAGCTATCACTTTCACATGCAAAATTGTTTATATATTTTATGGCCAAATGGAATTTTTATTTGCCAAATCTTACTTTGCTTTACATTAGCCCATTCTTTAGATGCTTTACTAAGGTCCAGTTTATTATTTGGTTATTTTAATAAAGTTTTGCTTAAATATCACAGCAATAGGCTATCATACATTTACAAAAATTTTTGACAGCCAACCCTATTTTTTCAGTCAGATGTAAAATTACATGTATTGCCTATTGAGTGTTATTGGTGGCTTTGGTCTTTTAAAATACCGTATTGAATGAAATATTTTAAATATGTACCGGCACCGTGCAGCCTACACAACACATCAAATCTTACAAGGTTTACCAAATCTACTT